TGGCTGTCCTTGCTGCCTAACACCAAGCTAAGCACAGCATCGCTCTCAGCTGAAGTGTTTTAGAGTGTAGGAACTTCTGCCTTTTTAAAAGGGGTAAAGGTCTCTTGGTTCAACAGTGCTCCTGGCTGCCTGAAGGTCAGCCAGTTAAGTAGCACCACCAAAAATCAATTAGGGGCGTACACAGAGATAGCTTTATAAAACCTCATTCGATCTGGGGAAAAGTAAGATTAATTAAATGACAGCAAGAATTTTTAGGATGTTTTAAAGGCACACACCTCTGTACCACATCAGCTGGTAAAGAGCTATGTTGTTTGGAACAAACGAGCTACAACTGTTGTTGAAGATTTCTAAGCTTGCATAGCAAGCTTGCTTAATGCTGCTAAACAATTTCTAAGGCTTTTCAGTCCTTAAAAGCCAAATGAGAAACCAGGGCCAGGCTCTGAGCAACCTGACCTAGCTGTGGATGTCCCTGTTCATTGCAGGGCAGTCAGACTAGATGACCTGTAAAGGTCCCTTCCAACTCCAAGGATTCTATGAAACTCACATATATGCACTCGCCATCCAGCTTAGGAAATAAGAAGAGGAGGAGGACGAGGGCACTCGGTCATCTCCTGGGTATGGGGATCAGAGGGGTTCTCACCTCCCAAAAAATGCTTCCTGCAGGTGACTCCCTCGGATGCTCCTCTGAAATCCCTTCTCCCACTTGGACCAGCCCTGCAGGGTGAACCCGGATCCCCGCGCCCTGGCACCACGCTCACCTCACTGCAGGAATGGCCCTGCAACCTGGAAGCACGAGGGCACCTGCAGGGATATGCTCAGCTTCTATCTGCAGGCTGCCAGCTGCCTCCTCCACGGCTGAGCCCCAGATGTTTGTCTGGGAAGAGCACTCTAAGACCAGTGGGGATTTCCACCAAATCCAGCCCCCTGCGCGGTGAGCTTTAGGCTCTATTAACATAAGAATCTATTAACACAGGAATCCCAGGGGAAGAACGTTCTTTGGCTGAATATTAAGGCCAGAGAAGTTTGAGAATGCTTCTCACATCTTCTTCTCATCGGCCTTCACAAAAACAAAGCACTGGATAGGTGTGGCATAAATAAAGCATGTAAAAATAACTTAAATTCCTTTAAATATGCTCTAGCATTAGATATGGAGGTTGGAGCTTGATATCCTCGAGGTCCCTTCCAACCCAAGCCATTCTATGATTCTACAACGTATCTCCATGCATAAAACACCACAATAACAGTATTGCTCAAACTGGACGTGAAAACCCAGCAGTGCTCACATCTCAACCATGCGCAGCTCCAGCCTAAATCAAAGCTGTCAGGCCAATATCCTGCATAAAACACAGCAAAGCTGATCAGTTCAGAGGGAAGCCTTCCAACACAACCCCAAAGATGGTGTGTTTCAACCCTGAGCACTCACCAGCACAGCTCAGCCATCGCAGGAGCAGGCAGTTTCCACTTGTTGCATCCAGAATAAAGCTCACGCAACGCCGGTCAGAAAGGCTCCAGGTAGTCAAAGGTTCACCAAAACTCAGCTGCTGTTCCTTGCAACCCAACTATTGGGAGCCAAGGAAGCCGTGTGAGTGCAGCAGCAGATGTGCACACCCACATCGTAAGATGCTGGATTTCTACAAAGAACTTCCATTATTTTAGAGACAATGGATATTGTTTCCAGTCGCATCAGGGCTATTTACAGGCTCTCCACACAGTTGCCCAAATTAGCTCAAAAAGAACACAAATGCCATTGTTCAAAAGCAGTATCTTGATGAGTAACCCAGCTGAATCTACGTTGTTTGCTTCAAAAATCACGATGCCGACGTGAAGCCATAAGGAGATGAAGACGTGCATGGGGAAGCTTGGAACTGGCAAGCACCAAGAAATGCAGCAGTACTCATTTTGGGTTGATTTTCTCTCCTCCTCCTTCCACCAAGTGTATTTCTAGGCACGGAATATCCTCACAGCTCCCGGAGCATCGCTGCACACACGTTGTGCAGGCAGTAAACACACCCTGCAGCCCTACAGCCCACGTAGCTCTGAGGTGAGCTCTGCAGGCATCTCCCTGCAGCAGCCCAGCAGAAAGGCATTGGCTCCAGCAGCCACGCAAGCGCCTTTTCCTACTGACTAATGAGGAGGAAAGAAAACCAAACACTGGCACAGCGGCACTTGGAGTAAGTTCCTTCAGTAAATCATAGGCTAATGATCAAACTCAGGCATGCAAGTTTAAGTTTATAGGAATTTTTATAATGTCCTTGGGCACTCGGTTGCCATATCTAATAAGCTCCCACTTAGGCGAGCTCACACACATGCAGCCTTCAGCATTCCTAGATGTAAAACACCAGCAAAACAGCAGGGTCAGATCACCTCCAGTCTTCCAGAATCAAATTCCTCACTGCACAATAAATCCATTTCTAAGTCCCAATAATTTGGTTCATTAAACTGTTGCACAGCAAATCCCTCGGAACGGAAATGTCTGTCAACGCAAACCCAAGTCATTCTGTAAACTGCCTGACTCCAAAACATTTACTCTCTGGTTTTGCCAGCCAAATACCTTCGCTGTACGCAGACCCATGTGCCATCGTTTGTCTGTGCAACAGCTAACGAGCTGGAAGTTGGGGCACAGAAAGGCAGTGGGTTGGCTGATATAAAGGAAACGCTGACAGAGTTTGATGGCAGAAATTGATGTCGTTCTGCTAAAGGAAGGTGGTTGTACAGGAAAGTAATGACAGGCCAAAGAAACTCCCCAGAATCTAAATATAATCAATTATATTCAGCTACACATCAGCACATAAAGAAGGAAGAGAAAACAATGGCATTTTTACTTATCGTTATTCCTCCCATCTCTTCCTTTCGTATCTAGCACAAACCCTCTGCAGGATATAAAAAGCAGACACTGAGGTGAGCCCCCACCCCAAAATTCACAACACGTACTGCCTGCATCCCAGGTACATCCCAGTATTTAAGTTCCAGGAGGAAGCTCTCCATGGAAAACACAGCTTATTGCTGGAGCATATGGCGGCCGAGGGATCAGAGCCATGACCCCACTCACTGTCCCGTGAGTAGGTCACCCCACACAACAAAGAGAATTCAATGGGAGAGAAAGAGGCACACACAGAAAAAAGGGTTCAGTGCGGCTCTTCTGATGTTCAGCAAAAAGGTGAAGAATATTCAGCTTTTTTTTTTTTTTAAGGCTTTCCAACAAGTGGGCACTCTTCTTGTTCAAACTAACTTGTCCTCCCAAAGAAACCGTGGTATCCAGAATAAAGAAAATGATGAAATAAATGTGGAATAGATCTGTGCTCACGCATTCTTCTCTAATTATATCACACGAAGGGTTTGTCTAATGAAGAAATCTATCTGCAGTGCCAAAAGAAGTAGCAGCAATTCTACCATGCCACCTACTTTGCACTATTCTCGCTCAGTAAATGACTTCTTACAAAAGGAAGATGCCTATCAGCAATCAAGATACGCAGCGTTTTACCCAGCCACCCTAGAATTAAAATAAGCATTTGGTTTCAAGGAAAATGAGCTCATTTTAACTAACGAGGTCTCTCTGAGTTTTTACCGGGCTCGGCATCGAGCTGTCTGCCTCCTCCAGCACATCGACCCGTCCTCTGCCACGGGGCCAGGAAAGGGCTGGGGGTGCATTACAGCCCACTGCCATCAGGTTTGTACAACAACATCTTCAGGAAAACACAGCAATTGAATCACTGTTGTAAGCACTGACCAAGCCGGGGTCAAACAGCGGTGGGAATCCCGGGCCAACTTGGGTTTGCACTGGAAAATCCCAATCCCTACTCATGATAAACAGAAAACAAACAAAAGAATCTATTTCTGAACTAGGCTGTAACTTCTGCTTTTTACACCAGAGAGTCCAGGGAAATCGGGCTCCAGATCAAACACCTGAATGCCAGATAATTAAACGAGCGGATCACTGACGCATAAATAAAGTTTTAGATTCGCGGTGAACAAGTGTCCTTCTGTAATCCATCCAGGTCAACTTTTCAGACTTTTTATTATGTCAGCACTGGCCTAAAAACCCAATGGAAACTGGAGGGGTTGGGTTCCCTGCCTGCCAGTAGGGTCGGACCTGGGGAGCATCCCAGTGCGACCTGCATGGCTGTGTTTGTGCAAAGGGGGATTTCCGCAGCAATAACGCAGAAACGCCCAGGTCCCACTCACACCAAGACCTCCATTGTTTGGACCTCTGTTCCAGCCATGGAAGTTCACAATCTGTGATAGCCATCCGACCCGTGGACAGAAACGAGTAACCACAGCCCCCAGCACCTCCAGGGCAGCAAATGCTGCCCTATCAGCAGACATGCACCCAATAACGCATCGCGTTAAACACAACGGGTACTTCTTTAGGTAGTGCCATGATTTGTGCCAGTTTTCATGCCTACCCACATCCGTCGATAAGGAAGAGTTCTCAAGATATAAAAGAAATCAGGTGGCTGTAAGACCGAGCTACATAGTGAGCCTCTTCTGTTGGCAAGCGATGTGGTTTAGTGCTTCCCACTCCACTCGCCACAAAACATAACCATCACTAATAAGCAGTCAACACTGCCTCCAACTGAAGCATTTTTTGGCAGAAAAGAGGGCATGCATCAGCTACAACTGTAAACATCTATTTTCCTAAGAAATTCATTTTTTTTCCATAGCGGAAGGTGCCTGTTTGTAGATTTTTTCAATAATATTGATGAGCAGAAGCTCTTTTACAACGCATTTCTACTCTGCAGAGTTCTGTACGACGACTGCATTTGCTTTTGCTTTGAAATCAGTTTGTGAAGAACCACATTTTCATGGACACTCGGGAATCACACCCACCCACCCTTTGTCACCCAGCCAAATCCAAACGAGCCGTGCAGAGCAGCACGAGCCGGGCACGGAATGCACACTGCTGTAACTATTTGCTCATCCAACCGGCACAAAACATCCACTGTTCCACTATCATGCAAAATAAGGAAAAGCAGATATCACACACAACACAGGAGCAGTACCTCTGCGCCATGCCCTGTGGTTCAGGGGGCTCCCGTCGTGTTCTCAGCGTGGTGGGGACCTGGCAGCATCTTCATCCTCCTGTTGCTCACACCACTGCTGGCCCTGGGGTGGGAGCTCAGCCCACTCCGTCCTGTGCTGCTGCTGGCTCTGCCCTGGCTGGGGAGAGAAGTGGGGATCTCAGTAGGGCACAGCCCGTGCTGAGCTCGGGGTTTCTTTTATGCTTTGTTATGAATGAGATGCTAAGTTAGTTCAGGCACATTTATATACATATGCATGGTATGTATATATATGCACATCTATTGCCTGATTCAGTGGGTGGCGACCCTGCCCGTGGCAGGGGGCTGGAAATGGGTGATCTTTAAGGTCCCTTCCAATCCAATCATTCTATGGCTCTATGACTTTTAAGGTCCCTACCAACCCAATTATTCTATGATCTTTAAAGTCCCTTCCAACTCAAAAATTCTATGGGTCTTTAAGGTCCCTTCCAGTCCAACCATTCTATGACTCTATGATATATAACCCGACTGATTATTATTTTAACATTCTACTCTCTCACACGTCTGCCCCGTCTCAGGAAGAAAACCTACATATGCCAAAGTGTAAATTCAAAGCATGTTCCACTGGAAGCAGAAACCCAGCATAGATAGGTGATACCCTGAGCATGCACAGGTTGCTATATGGGGTGAGGGGGGTCACAGTGGGCAGAGGGGAGCAGGCCCCATTGTACTCACCCCAGCAGCTCCAGTGCTGGTGCTGCCGCTCCGGAGGGACGACAGCAAATGCTTTGCTTTGGAGGGAGTGTCCTCCCCGCGGTGAATCAGGCTGCCTTATCCCGGCATAATGTTACAGAATGCTTTGCTCCTGCAGAATTCCGAACGCCAGGCTGCGGGGTTTCATCTCTTGCCAGTTTCAAGTGGGTTTTGTTATCATGCAAAGAATGTAATTACGTACGGCTCGCTGTATTCGGGGCTGTTTCCCAACAGGCTGAGCATAAATATCGACACGCATGTAGAGGAGCATGACATCACGTTGTAGTGCAGTTAAGTGGCTTTGAGATGACAAGCAGTGCCCCGTCCTTGACAAAGCAAAGATTAGATAAAGTATTGGACAGGAGCCACGGCTGCCGGCTGCCTGTACCAGCACAGAGTTTAACAGCACCATTTATTTCAGAACATTAATTAGTCATGCAGAAAGCATTCAAAAACAGACAGCAGACTCTTCCCCCTGAAGCACCGGCGCTAAGTCAGAGCAGCTCAGCCCGTCCCCATCCCCAGCCCTGCACACACCGGTATTTCCTGCTCCCGTTTCCTCCCTGCATATCATGGGAACACAACCTGCAGAGTGCCGAGCAGCCCATGGGCCAGGCCAAGGATATTTCTGTCCTCTGTATTTCGAGCACCACCACGCGTGCGCTCCCCTCTGGGATTCTGTTTCCCCACGCGTTGCTTTATTTTTGTTCACTCAGCAGTGAGGCTGCCGGGTCAGACCCACGGATTTAGAGGAGATGCTGACTGCTTACCTGCACTGCACCTCGGAAACGGAGGACAAGTCTTTCTCTAAGGGTTACTGCGGTACAAACGTTGGTTTTATAAATTCTGTGGTTTTGCAGGAAGAATAATGTACGTAGGGCAGTGCACTGCCTGGGGAGGAGCACCCAAGGATTACCCACGTGTTTCATTAAGTGGCTGTAGAACCGGCTGGGGCACGTCGGGCACTGGGTGCTAACCATGGCCCTATCTGTGATGGCAGCCTCACCCCAACACACAGAGATACATCTCTCAGCTAACAGTTTGGGAAGGGGGAAGATGCTGAGTGCCACTACCAGAGGGCCAACCACCCTAGGATCAAGTTCTTGATTCAGGTCTTTTAGCATCAAAAAGCCTAATCTGATCAATAGGAGTTAATAATTATTGTTGTATCTATTTCCACAAATGCTGTTAATAAGAACAGACTCACCTGGCCGGAGCATCCAGTGGTAGTGACCACCCCAATGGGGTCAGTGCACAGAGGACAGAAGGAGCAGCAATGCTATGGCACAGCAGTGAAAGAGAAAAGCTGAAAAGAGCCACAACAGAGCAGGGCTATGAAGCTGTAATTGGCACAGAGGGGATCACAGAATGACCAGGGTTGGAAGGGACCTCAAGGATCATGAATCTCCAACCCCCCTGCCACATGCAGGGCCACCAACCTTCCCACCTAATGCTAGACCAGGCTGCCCAGGGCCCCATCCAACCTGGCCTTGAACACCTCCAGGGACGGGGCATCTGCAGCCTCTCTGGGCAGCTGTTCCAGTACCTCACCACTCTCTCTGTAAAGAATTTCCCTGATGTCCAACCTAAATCTCCCTTCCCTCAACTTAAAACCATTTCCCCTCGTCCTGCTGTCACTCACCCTTTCAAAGAGTTGATTCCCCTCCTCTTTGTAGGCTAAAAGGCCTTTGTAGGGTCCTTTGTAGGATCAGAACTTCACACTTCTCCAGGGAGAGGGCAAAATACCTGAGTTTCAAATAAATCTATTTACTGCAATTCACTCCTCCATCAGCAGAAGGTGCCCCTACTCAACAGTACATCCAGGTACAAAATGGGGATTTCAAGCAGCCCAGAAATTTTGTTTATAAAGTCACGCGTTTAAAATAACATGTAAAATCATAGAAATCACAAAATAAATTATAAAGCATTTAAAGAGTCCCATATATCTTCAAGGATTAACAGAGTGATCAGTGTTGACCCAAAAAGGTTGGGAATTCATTTTGAGGGTCATGGGTTCCTCCGTGGAGGCAAAGCACCCAATGCATCCTGCAGCACTGATATGGGTATGGATGGGCTACCAGCCTCCAAGTGGATGCTGCACTTTGTCACACCAAGTTCTGCTTAATCAAGAAGAATCAAAGGCCAACTATTAGTAGTTCTTATTAATTCCTTAATTTGGAAGCCTATATGAATGAGTTAACAATCACAGATAGAAGTGGTCAGTAACGTTGGTTCTGTTGGTCGCAGATCCTGTGTTTGTCTGTAGGGTATATGAATGGTGAGCATCTGTTCCTTCAGAAATGGTTTGGGTGGGTTTTTTTCAGTTTTTTTAGATGCTGTGACTCCGTCTTTGCACACTGTGTAAAAATAGATCTCCATTCTCATAGATCTTCAGACACTTTCTCATTTCCAGGCATGAGAACACAGTGCTGCTTAACAGGGCCGTCAGTGCAGCCTTTCAATGCAGTTTATTCATTGCTTGCTTGTGATGGTTTCTGAGTGTCCTGCTCACAGCTGGTAAACACAAAAGCTGTTTTTCAGGCTGCGAAGAGCTGACATGGACAGCAGCACGCATCTTAACACTACTGCACCAAATCCCTCACTTTTCCCTTAAATGCTGGAATGGAGCTAAGCCAGGACTATTCTCCTCCTCCATAGGAAGTTCAGGTTGGTTTTAGGAAGCATCTCTTCTCCAAAGAGCAGCCAGGCAGTGGCACAGCTGCCCAGGAAGTGGGGGAATCACAGTTCCTGGGGGTGTCCCAGAGCCGTGGGGATGTGGCACTGAGGGATGTAGGCAGTGGGCATGGGTTGGGGTTGGGGTTCTAAGAGGTCTGCTCCAACCCTATTGACTCTGTGGTTCTACTGCCTTCGCATTTCGTGTCCATCATCACCTAGTCTAGAAGCAAGGCTAAACTACTTTGCATCTGTGTCTCAGAGCAGTAAATCCCCTAAAACATGCACCTGGTTATTACTGTTCATAGCAGACACTCATGAGTTTGTCTTTTCCCCCAAGGAAAATGATGCTCTGAAGAAGGGGAGGCCACAGCGAGAAAAAATTCAAGGTCAGCAATGAGGGCACTAAACTTTGTGTCACAAGAACAAGACTGATAGTGCTCTATTTCCAAACCTTATGCAAGTTTAATTGCGCTCATCTTATTTGGTAAAAGATTCCAGGACAACAGCTTGGAGACATATTCTGAGCTATCAGTATATTGTAGTTGTATTAAAACCTAAGGCTTAGGTTCCTGCATGCCCAAACAGTCTTTAATTTCACATGCAATTAGTGACATAATTAACAACATTTAATAATGTTAACCAGCTATTCAGAGCCAGAAAGACTGAATGAGCAACCTAAATGGGGTGCTCGGTGATATCAGAAGGATCATATTTTCCAGACCTACAAAAGAAGTTAAGGTGCTACCGGTCTCAACCGCTTAGAAATGACTTTCCCCAGCAGTGAAAGCAGGAACACACCACTAGATCACAGCATTTCATAAAGAACAGGGCATACTGGGCAGCCCTGTGTCCTCTATATGACTTGGTTTACATATGGCTTGAGGAGAGAGAAAAATCTGGTCAGTGATTTGATCCAAGTGCACTCAGTCTGGCACCCCAAATCACAAAGGAATCTCAAAAAAGAGGAGGATTTCACACCAACTCAGCATCCATTCATTTTTAATGGATGCTCTCAAATAGGATTCCTCCTGGACATTTCTTTCAGAAATCATGACTTAATAGAACCAATATGACACCTCTCTGGTATGAGTAAAAACCAATATTTCAAACAAACACTGTGGGAAAGAAGGAGGTCAGGTCTGAAAAGAAAGGTGGGCATCATGGTGGGTTGGATGGAAGAAGCAGTACTGCTTCAAAGACAAGGACCATGAGGAAAAATAAGGGTGTTGAAAAGGGAAAGAGGAGATTTAGGAAAAACCAAGGTGGAAATCCCAGTATCTGCAAGGATCTGCTAATAGGAGACTAGAGTATTTAACCAATATAGGTTTGTATGCCACAGCAAAACACAGGCGTAGCCAAAAAGCTTGTTTCCAGGTGTTAGGTCATAAAAAACATGAATTAAATACAAAATAAAGAGGAAACAAATGTTCAGCTTGCTCAAAAATACAGCAGAGAAGCTCCAGCCAAAGAGCAACAACCAAACAACCCTCACACATGGCAACACAGCCTCGTATTCCCCGCAGGGAACACGGGTGTGTTTTCCCAATGTGCTCCTCCTTTCCCCAATCTCCAACCCACCACAGACCTTCCAGCACGGTGTGCTGTGGTTCCTTGCTGTCAGGGTTGGCACCAGGAGGAGATTCCTGGAGGCACCCATTGGAGCCCTACCAACAGAGCACGCCTCTGGGCCTGTCAGCCATAAAAACTCAGCCCCACAAAATAAAGGACCGAAGAGAAAGAGTTAGGGGAGTAAAAAAGGGGGTACTTTTTCCTTTTTTCCTCCACGCACTGCCTTTTTTTTGCAAAGAGAAAAGTGGCAGCCATGAAAGAGACCCTCGTTGCCCGTTGTTGACTGCCAGTAGCACCAGCCATTTATTTACTGGAGTGAAAACTAATAGGGAGACTAATGAGAGGTTTGCTTGGACGCACCGTGGCATTTCATTACAGTCTGGTGGAAAATTGGAAACGAACCCGATCGCTCTGTGCTCTGTCAGCTCTCCCTTGGATCCGTGTGAAAATGCAAACACACACGTCTGTGTTCAGCCCCACGTACCAGGAGAGCTCCTAACGACTTCTGACAAATTTAATCCCCCCAGCAGAAGCTTTCTTGTTATTTTTTCTCCCCTCCTGACGTTTCACGTTGCAGTACTACAGCATCACTGTTTAATGCCAGAGATAAACTCAGCCTTGTTGAGCTTTGTCCCATTGGCCTCAGCCCAGCGATCAGCCCATCCAGATCCCTCTGCAGGCCTTCCTACCCACAGGCAGATTGACACTGCCCCAAAACTCGGTGCCAATCCGATATCTGATATAGCAAGATATCTGAGCTCTCTGGAAATAATCGTTTTGGGTTTTTTAGGAGGAGAAAAAATACATTTGGAAGATGATCGCCAACGATTTCTGATATTTGTAGCTCCTAAAAATATGGCAGTTGTGTCCTCATGCATCCCCAGCTAAACTGCAGGGAGAACGCTTGTATGCAAGTCCTCCACTCTCCA